CCAGGACCCCTCTCCAGTACCTCTCCAGTACCCCTCTCCAGTACTCCTCACCAGTACCCCTCTCCAGTACTCCTCTCCAGTACTCCTCACCAGTACCCCTCTCCAGTACTCCTCTCCAGTACTCCTCTCCGGTACCCCTCTCCAGTACCCCTCTCCGGTACCCCTCTCCAGTACCCCTCTCCGGTACCCTAGATGTCAGCTACATGCATTTCTGGCCGCATCTCCTTCACCAAACATTTTAAGTATTTTAAGTACACTAGATATCTTTGCCATCAACAAGAATTGATTATCAAATTCTCCCATTTTACAGAATTCGAATTCATTTTTTTCTAAAGACTTTTGTCTTTGCCCATTTTTTATTGTTTAGAACCCTAAAAAGGCCAAGAAGACACGGAAGTTCATAGTGGTAGAAGGCCTGTACACCAACACAGGACAGATCACCCCCATCGACAAACTGGTAAGACATCAGAGCTTTTACTTCGTCAGTGTTATTAAACTACAAAAAATTCCTCCTGGCATCTATGATGACATTTTGTTTTGCATAAAGTTTCTCATGCCACTCTACATGTAGCATGTGATGCAGTTGTTGGAGATGGTCAATAGGAAATTCAAGATATTCCCAGGAGAATCACTCTAGGGTCACTTGAACAAACTTCAATAAACACAGTCCTGTTTGTCTGTTTTGGGTCAATTCAGTTCTGATTCCAGTCCCAGTTTGGGTTTGTGTTTTGATTCCAGGTTGAATTCAAATACAAGTACAAAGTGCGGATCTTCCTGGATGAGACTATGTCCTTTGGGGTGCTCGGTAAAACTGGGCATGGCGTCACGGAGCACTTTGGAATCGATGTATGTACACACCACATGGTGATGCTAATATTTTTGAGAACAAGCGTTATTTTTTGTCCAATATTTTTCACTTAAGTATCAATCTGTCACATATTAGATTTTTGTATGGTTTGTTGTAAACAAAATAACAGAGTGGAGAGCCATTTTTCTTCAAAATTAATTTTTTACCATGTTCAAAGTGACCATAATTGCGAAGTAGCTTTCGGTTTTAAATCACACACTTATTGAATTTTTTTTTACAGCTCAAAGTGTGTCTGCTCAGAATTCATAAAACAACAACTTTCAAATTGGAACCTCAATCTCAACTCACCCTGTCTATTTCCCAGTCTATTTGCTGTTCTGTTTAAAAATTAATTCACCCAGTCTATCATTGTCTTGATGTTGACACGTTCGATGGCAAATATTCATTTGACAATCAATATCATTCAGGGGATTTTGTGCCCTCCCCTCTCAACTTGCCACATGAGTCTTAAGCATGTAATGGCATCTTGTTGCTTGGTTACAGGTGACGGATGTTGATCTCATCTCAGCAAGCATGGAGACGTCGCTAGGCACCCTGGGAGGTTTCTGCGTAGGCTCCAAATTTGTCGTGGATCACCAGGTGAGTCGGCACAGTTGAATTACCTGAACTGTTCATGCATGACCAATTGACAGACCCCCCTCTGTACATTACTCTTTGATCTCATATGCTGTACACCACGTTGACCGTGCCCCAACCTTTGATTATCACTTTCCCCGTCTTTGCTCAGTGCAGTCAAAAATGTGTCTTTGAGGCAGGTCAGCTCACATACAGCGGCTTACATGAAACATGGGGCCCCAGATTGAAATGCATTTGGTTGTCGGAACGAAGAGACAAAAACTTGTTATTCCCAATTGACATGAATTATCCTACTCCTGTTCAAGGCATTGTGTTGCAGACCAACCTGCTGTCACTTGCAATTATGGGCCATTGAGCTTTGAAACAATTTCGTCTTCTAAGATGCTTTGTATGGTGATTCCTTCCCGTTGGAAATCGGAAACTGAACTTCCTTGAAAAACCTGCCCCATCTACCGTACCAGCCTGTTTTTCATTTCTTAACCTTTGAGCTAATTGTCTTCAGATTAAAACTTTTTAAACACTACTAGAAAATCACCACCATACTGTAGTGTTGAGTTCAGCTCTCAGCAAAAGTATTTTGTAATAAGCACTGCATAATCAGTATTGTCCAATAGTTTGTGAGGAAAAAACTAAAGCTGGGTCCCTTACAAAGCCAGTGTCTCAACCACTCAGCAACTTAGCTTGCCTGAAGTTGGATGTCCTGTTCGAATACCACATGGCAGTAGGTATTGCAATGAGTGAGAGGCTTGTGGCCAACACTTCATCCGGTTGCACGAACCATTTCATGCCACTGGTCGGATTTTCATGCAGCATTTTTTCAAGGAGTAGTTTGCCCCTTTCCATGCTCTCCACTGGATGCCGTCCTTGACGTCCCCACCCGTTCCGTAGGGGTAGTACCTCCCGTTGAGGTTAGCCTTCTGGCATTTGTCGTACCACCAACCTCCGCCGGCATCGGCGCAGTTGCCCGTGTTCTTGTTGTCGTTGTCATTGTCAATGGTTGTGAAGGGCAGGCCGTCGTGATGTTTCAGTGAGTCTCCGGCAGTCCCCTGGTACGAACCCACACTGAGGGTATACAATTCACCTGTCACAGTGAAGTCGTCATACTCTGCCCAGACTGCCGCGCCCTCCCAGTCTTCCAAGTCCACGCGCAGTCGCCACGCCTGTGTCGAGGTCAGGGAGCGCAGTATGTCGTTTCCCATCCAGAATTCGCCAGCCAGGTCCCCAAAGAAGGCTTGGAATTCTGCCCAGTTGTGATCAAAGTTGACGCTGCCGTCTCGGCGTCGCTGGATAACCACCCACTCCCGACCGTCGGGTTCCATGTCGCAGTAGACCCGCAGCCCTTCGCTGAATCCTGGAGGGAAGATGGTGAAGATGCCACTGGTTTGCCCTGCTGCCTGTGCAGCAGCACAGCTGTCAAACTCAGCCGCAGGCTGGGCAGAGTATAGGGGGGCGATTGAAGGCACAGACAGCTGAGGGGTGGAAGGTATCACAGAAGGGCCCGGCGTTGAAGGCACAGAAGAGTCGTGTGGGGTAGATAGTTCCGTGTCATGAGTCATCGGAGACAGAGAGTTACCACTCGTTGAAGTCACCAATGTCCCTGATGTGGTAGGCAGCAGAGAGGGTTGGGATGTGGGAGGTATTGATAGCTGAGGCTTGCCTCTGTCGCCATCAAAGTATGCACTGCCAGCCATAAGAATGAAGAAGTCAGGGTGTTGGAACCATGCTGCATTGTTGAGCTGACACCTGCGACTGTGTCTGTAATAATTGATAGATTTACAGTGACTGTCAGCATGACAGTAACTGCCACAGATCACATAGGAGCGTGCCGTTATCTCCCGATAGGTACAACATTGCAGAGCTTGGTTTTCCACACTGAAGAATTCAACTTCCGACAGGCCGCAGTGAGTGCCGTGCACTAGCACAGCCCGGGCTAGTAGAACGGTCCAGGAGAGGATGTTTCGGACATGTTTTATAAAGAATGCCATCTTGTGTTTGTGGTCTGTGATTTTAAAATGGTGTGGCTCATCAAGAAGATGTCCAGTGGTTTTTCTCGGGCAGACAGATGTGCAGTCAGATGTAAGCCCAGTCACTGATGATGTGTAGTTTTGCATTAGCGCATCTGTCAAATGATTCCATCAAATATTCTGTCTTACTTAGGCTTAGACCAGCAAGATGAGTGAGGCAGTGTCTCCACTTTCTGCCAGGGCAGTTTTCACTGCCAAGAAACATACGGTTTTAAAGGCAGGTGCTTCCTACTTGCTGGTCAGCTAACCACTACGTACTGTCTCTACTCTCTGTTCATGGTGGCAGGCCACTGTCACTGACTCTGCTGGTGTTTCTGTGCTCAAAATAACCCACCAATAACCTGTCAAGGCCCCATACCCCAGAAAAATGCTCAATTAAGTTGCCAATTGGAGGAAAATAGGGTATGATCAATATTGCCTTGAAGAGCGATTAGTTAATGGCTCAAGGGGTTGACTTCAAGTTGGTTTAGGATTTGCGCCGAATGAGACCTTGCCTTGTATTGATTTGGGTTTTGTTTTCTGGGGGTTTTTTTTGAAGGGAGAATGTCTTCTTTTTTTTTAATTATTATTCAAGTTAACTAAGGCCAAAACTGTTAAGCATTCATGATTGCCGTTTTTGCAATCATTGATCTCCATGTGTTTGTCGGGGTGCGTAGGTGGAAAAAAGTATGTCCATGGCCATATAGTTCTTATGAAACAGGTTTTTTGTGGCAGCGAGTTGTACTGACAGCTTAGTTCATATTGAAATTTGTACATATTTTACTCCATTTGGAGTAGACATTTTATTGCTCTGATTCTATTGAATTTCCTTCTGCCATTTATTTCTGGAAATCAGTAAGTCAATATTAGCGTATAACGAGCTTTAAATCAACTCCAGGAACACTGTGACCAGCTCAGAGTAGGCTTATTCTAAGTCTGTGTTAAAAAAAAGGGTTGCATTTGACTTTCTCGTTGTGAAATCTGTGCAAATTACAAGTTGAAAGAGCCTGAGATATTTGCATTGTGCACCTGTTATGTCTAAATCGTGATTGTAACCAGAACTTGGAATGGTAGTTTGTGTATCTACTATACATGCTTGCACAAGAGCATGATTGGTTTTGAACACGCTGGCAGTGCAGTGCATTTCACAGGAAATGTGCCTTGTTCTTTTGGGGTTTTTTGTAGGGATAAATGTAACCTTAAATGAACCTAGGTTTTTCAATATCTTTCCAGGATTTGTAGGAACCCGCAAGATTCAGGAAGATAAATCTCAGCCACTGTATCTATGTGCTGCTCGGTCCTAGTCCCCAAGTTGCATCCCCAAATATTTGCGAGATTTTTATTGCTCCTGGAGAGAATAATTTAATGTACATCCAAGTACATTGTAATACAGGTGTTGATGTGTTATTTTTGCATGGGTTTTCCAGCGTCTGTCCGGCCTGGGCTACTGCTTCTCGGCTTCCCTGCCCCCCATGCTCGCCACAGCCGCCATGAAGGCGTTGGATCTCATGGAGGAAGACCCATCCATGGCCACCCGACTGCAGGCCAGATCCCAGTACGTCCATGAGGAACTCGCCAAGTAAGTCGGCCAAAGACAACTCGCCCTTGGGATCGCAAACCTTGACTTTCTGTAACTGAAATAATGTAATAAATAAATATATTTAAGCATAAAAAATAACTTAAATAACTGAATTTGCCAGTTCTTGTGACTTTGTGCTGTTTATTCAGGAGGAATGATGACAGTATCCACACTCTACATAGGATTTCTTTGAAACTGTACTTGTTTCCAGCTGCATGTGTGATCATTGTTTCAAACCACTCAAAGAAAAATCTTTTGAGATTTGCATTTCTTGGCAACGGATTTCATCAACTTATGGTAAATCTCTAATTTTCCAGCTCGCTAGCCAATTTGAGATCTCCTTGTGTGAGTTTTTAAACCAGAACTCAATACCTGGATTATTGTGTATGCATTTAATAGTAAAAAATAATCTTTTGTGTACCGTATGATAGGATTGCTGAGATGAAAGTAGCTGGTGACCCTGTGGCGCCCATTAAGCATCTGTATGTACGAGAGACAGGAGAGAAGACCAGAGAAGAGATAATGAAACTTCTAGAAGTGATAGTAAACAAGGTACCATCGTAGTTGTTTTTGCACACTCATCAAATTAGCCTTCTTGTCACATGATGAGCCTCACCATGACTTTTAATAAGTGCACAGCCAGTGAGGGTCGGCCTAAACATGATTTTGTAGTAGTAGTGAAATTCATGTCAGCAATATCTGTGAGCGCGAAGTTTCAGAAAGAATTTGATCCTTTGCATCATTGGCAGTGTTGCTTTTGAATTGTTATACGTAATTATAGTGTGTGATTTTCAGTTAAACCCGATTTATGACCAAATTGGTGAAAATTAGTAGGCCTGAGTCAATTCGAATAATTCACTACTCGAATATTCAATCTTCAATTTGATCGAATATTTGGTCATACTGACCACCAGATTCTTGATGAAAAAACCATATACAAAATCAGCTGCAACAATGCACACAATTGTGCATTATAATCACTATAATAGCTTCTCGCGTCCAGGAGTATCTCCAGCCATGATTTAGCAAGATTTAAGAGAGGAACAATACTTCTTGCCCTGTTGAAAATTTCTAGTCCTTTTAACTTTTTTAATGAATAATTTACTTTTTGAATTGTAAGATTTCTGTCGCTTTTCGTTTCAATCTGCTTGAAACATGCCTCCATAGTGCAAGTTTTCTCACTTAAAACAAAAGAAAATTCTCCCTTTTTACCAATTTTGCATGGGAATATTCAAATTCAAATATTTGGCACAGCCCTTAAAATGAGTTTCAAAGCAAGACTTTTTCAAATGATCTGTCTTAAAAGAGAGAAATTTGAAAAGGTAAGAATTGTCTTGTCTTGGTATCATTTTTGCATGCGTTTTTTAATGCACTGATCTTGAGGTCAGAACCAACAACTGAAAGACGAAGTCTTTCAATGTTTATCCTGTTGTTAACAACCTTTCTGTTATATCTGTAATTCATTGTTTGGTTCAGCCAAAACAAGTGACTGTCAGAGCAGGATTGAATTCTGCCATCTTGGGAACATTTTACCTTCACTCGGTGACCTATCCAGTTTTGCACTGGCGGCCCATGTAATTTGGGTCAGTGCCCTCTACTTTATTCGAACTGATATTAATGCCGACGATTGATTTCTTGATTTAGGCACTAGATGAGGGCGTGGTCCTGACCACAGCATGCTACTTGGAGGAGGAAGAAGCGTTCTTGCCTCCACCCAGGTAAGTTACAAACCAGTGCGTGTACCAGCAACGGATGCTGTTACTGGCTCCTTGCAAGCACCGTTGAGGGCGCTGTTCACCGGCATCATTAGTAGTGCATTAGTAGACCAGTTTTATAGGTATCACGTCAGGCTTAAACCTCGTGAAGTCATGCAAGAAAGGTTATCAACCACTTGTGTGAATAGTCATTCATCACTGCATGCTAAACAGAAAATGCCAAGAATGGAAACATTGGTATTTTTACTTTAACATTTTAACGCTCTGTGCACAAAGTTGATTATTTCTGGTGAACAGC